GACATGATATCGTTTGTATAAGATTATAAAGCCATCAATGACACAGATTATCTACAGTATATATGCTCACTGTCCTAAAGTCTATTACGGTATATTTGTTTATACCATTCTAAGTCAGTTGTATGGCCGCTAGTATTTTGTATAGGTACCATAGGCTTTTGGATGTTAGAAATGTTCATATTATCAAAATGTTCACTCTTGATTCAAACTATCAGAATATTAAACAATTTTTCAGAGTGCTTCAAATATGCAGATTTAATTCTAACCATAGGTACTGGCCAATTACACTATTATTACTAAAATTGTGCATACTAATGAATTATGTTTATGTACCTAAAACAATGTTCCATTATTGATATTCATTGGTGACAAAATTGGTCTTAATAGAGGGATTTCGCTGTATTATGTTTTAGAAAAAGTACAAGATTTTTGTATTTGAAAAGGTACATACTTATTTCATGTTACATGTAGCTTATTTATATAATTCTTTTAAATTTTCATAATCATCGTCAAAAGGATTTCTCGTATAGTGGGTTAGTTTGTATCCTGTTTGTGTGGTATCTACATTCAATAATGTGTGACAGATTAAAGAGACAATATTGCTTTCAGCAAGAAATAAAATCTTGAATTTCATACCTTTTATACGAATTTTAGACATGTTTGATTGCAAAATAACCACAAGTTGAAAATTGTTTTACAAGTGATAGACAACAGACAGTCCTTTTGACAAAAGAGATTGTTGAGATTTATTAATAATCCACAAAGGGACAAGAAAATATACATGTATTGCTGAAGTAAAATATTTTCTTAGCTGTTCAACAATTAACAAAAGCAACTTTAAAATGAAAGTCCACCATTATTGATTTGAATTTTGTAGATAATAAAGTTTTATACCGGAACCTGATAACTTTAAATTTAAATTTAGTTTGATACAAGCAGAAATAATGTTGCAATGTAAACATTTACCAACTAGGAGTGTTAAACAGGATCTGTTGAGAAAGTTTAAAAGATGGGATCAATATACATATACATGTAAGCTACACCAGTGAACGTACATGTACATGTATGAAATAACATGGCCTATTAAGGTATATTATATGTAGCCCTGACTTTTGACCCTAATTCTAATTAGTTAGGTTAGCTCCAATTAACACCAGTTGGCACATGCAACTACGGTTTAATTTTAATCGCAAGAGGTTTTTAGCTCTGACCCTAACCCTGATTAGTATGTGTACTCACTTGTGTATGTAGCCCTGACTCCTGACCCTAACTGTAATTTCAAATGGCGTAGTTATGATGCCCTAGTTGTACGTGACAAGTAGTAGGGTCGCTTGTCCAACCTCGTGGGTTTTCTCAGAGTCCTCTGGTTTTCTTCCACTGCTAAAGACCCCTACACACAAGCGACTTATTGAAATAAAATTGAATCCATATGTTAGTCCTGAAATGACCTAGTTTATGTCAAGTGGACGGAAAACCCCCATTTCTTTCTTCCTAACTGTAATATGCACATGTACCTCAAGACATTTTTAGCCCTGACCCTAACCTTTTGTTAGCCCCTGTTAGTGTTAGCACTTATCTACTTAAGTACCTATTTAACCCATGACTGTGGCCAAAATGTCTGGCCAAAACCTGGTCCCCCATCCATTTCTTAGACCATGGCAATATTAAAGTTTTGTATTGGTGTCAGGTTTTAGCAGCATATGATGACAAACTGTATAAGGTTATTGTTGCCTGTCTGTCAGTAGGCCTATATCAGGCTGGATACATGCCAAATATATTGATATATATATACCTTAACCTTACAGAACTTATACATACCACTTCATTGTCAGTTGTCAATCTAATAAAAGGTATTGAACAGAATTGCCATTGTGCACACAGGTTCAATATCCTTGAAGTTTTCTATTGTTCTGTATATTAGTAGAAATAACAACCATGTAAAAACATTTTCAAAATTAATTATCGCTGGTTTGTTAGGAGTTTGTATTCCTAACCATTCCATGTTATATTTGCATTCCATGTTTGTTATTTTGATGTATACTGTTTGTATTACATGTACATATAAATTCTGTGTGAAATTATTTAAGCAATAATTCTTTATTATATGAGAAAAATGATATTTTTCACGTTCGTGCAACTTGCCATAATGTCGGGCCATCTAAATCATGTATTTTGATTCAGGTTAGCATTTTTTTTTATCTTTTAAAGACATCTTATGATCCTATGGCTGAAATACATGTAGTTGACATTTGATGCATGTGTAGTTTACCGCTTGCCCTGCTTAATTTATGAATTTAATTGCAAACGCTACTTGGTTTCAGTGTTATACACCCCCTTTAATAGCAATTTAAGAATCATTGTAAAATAAAAGATTGGTACCCCTTTAAGAAATCCTGTATATACATGTAGATGTATACATGTAGCAGATCTCTACATTTCATATTGTAAGTTTTCAGTATACATGAGACATTAATCATAACTACATTTGACATGGTTCATTCATTTTATTACCCCACCTTACAACAAGTAGACCCAAGACCTGTTTTAGATACTATACCTACAATGTTTGTTATAAGCTGTTTAGTATATAACATAATATTTCACACTTAGATTAAAGCTTACATAATTTTGTACATTATTTATATTTAACTTGTAAAGTGCATGTTGATATAATTTACTAAAAATACTGCATAAATAGTCCTGAAGGGGTGGGGGAACACCTGGATGGGGAAATGACTTTTAATACCGAAAAGGGTAAGATTTGATGGTATCTCTTGTAAAGATCTGTATTTTCCCAGTAGGTTATTGGGAGGTATTTTGAATTCCTCTGTAGAATTAGAAAGGGGTAGCGGGAGATACGGAAATGACTTTTAATACCAAGGACGGTAAGATTTGATCCGTAATTTCCCGGTTAGCTATTATGAGTTATTTTGAACGTGAAATCTAGCACTGGCGCTAATAGCATTTGGAATAACAGACATGGATACATGTACATGTATATTAACAAAATAAGCAATGTTTATTATTTAACAGTTTTCTTATTTGTTTTAACACCTGGAAAATGCTATATGTTAGGTTGTGTTTTGTACTAGTTTGCATGTTATTTGAAGATAATAGATCAAAGGTCTATTGTAATCCCGAAGAAACCCCACAGTGCAGATCATTGAAAAGGTTACTTCCTTATTACTGGATTTGGGGGGAGACGGAGACAGTGTCCCCCTAAATATACATGTAAAATACTACATTAATGCCATTTAACTGTTTAACATTACATAAAGCTTTAAGATTTTTAAAAAATAAACCAATTTCCAGATCTTGTTTTATGAACCTGTATATTTACCAAGCCTTATTTGTTAAAATTCAACTTTTTTGGCCGATATTCAGAAAGTGTCTGATTTGTCGAGTACATGTATTTCTGTAAAAGATTCTCTGCAGATCTATGTCGAATGTTGAATTTTTTTTATTTCATTATATCTTTGAACCATTTTGGACTAATATTACATGTACATGTACAAGATTCAACTTTCAAGCTATTGTAGTTTGCAAGGGATTCAAAATACATGATAATCATATACATGTATGTCATTAAATGATTCACTGTGATACTGCATAAAATTTAACAGGGGCCGCAGTGGCTCAGTGAGTAAGGGCTTGGCAAGGAACAGTGTGTACATGTACATGTAGTTTTAAGAGATGGACCCAAAATTTGAGGTCCTCTGTAAACATAGGCGTGCGTGCATGGAAAAGAATCGTTGGCAGTTGGAATTTGAAAGTGGCATATGTCCGTTTTCATTAGCCCAGTCAGTGCAGAACAGTTGGATGTTAAACACCATTTCATTTGCTAATATACAGCCTGATAGTTTTTCAAATACTTTTTATCTGTTATACACTAGATGTTTTTTTCCCAGAATTAATTTTAATTTGAGGAAGTAAATGATTCAAAAAGTCAGATTATAAAAAAGCATCACATATAATGTTATTTACTTATGTATGGTTGTTTTTATTAATAAAATAGACGACATATTGACAATGTTTTGTTTGCTATCTGAATCAAGAGATCTTCATTTTATTTAGCAGGTGAAAATTTATAATGGTAGGTAAATGTATACAGGTAAAAGCACGAATGTCAGGATTGCCAAGATTTATTTTAGTCAGTTCAAGTTAAAGAAGATTTAGTTAAAGAACTGGTCGTTCTTGATATAATAGTTCAAAAATAGATAATGCAAAATGAATATATTGAAAATTTCATTCAAATAACTTTATTCTGAGAGAAGTCATCAATGTTTGTAGTTTTGACAAGATGGGTGCATTGATTGTTTATTGTCGTGAGTGACCATGGTACTGGTTATTCGAGGCTCAGCCTCGTTTCTTTATTTTTGAATTAAATCATTAAATGGCCGCACCGTCCTATTCTACTTAAAATCGGAACTATTCGATGGCATTGAGAGTTGATAATGGTCTTGTCATGTTAATTATTGTCTATTTAACATTTAAGGCTTAAAGAAAGACCGGCAATAGGCAAATTGGGCTCTTGAATATAAATGCCTCTTTAAAAGTTAAAGTTATCTAGAATATCAATTTACATACCAACAAAATATATTATCACATTAAACAATTTACTTCTAGACTTTGATTACTTTGAATAAAGTTTTTACTCAAGAAAAGTTTTTAAATTTGTGATCTTAAACTAAAGAGGCTACAACATGTAGGACAAAGTCAAAAAATAAATTCTTGTTTGAGTATAGTTTGATCATGTGACATGACTACTGACTAGATTAAATCACTTGTGGTTCGTTCTTATCTTGAGTGTTGGAATATTAATGATCTGTGAGATAAAGCTTGAAACATGTATTTAAATCAGTTTACTCGTCTACTTCGACAGATCAGCAGGTTTTGTTGGATAACATGAAATTTTCATTTTATAATTTGTGAATTACTTTACTACTTGAGATTAGAAAAGTGTTTTTTTAATATTTACTGTCGTAAATGCCTGCTTAGACTCTCCAAACTAAATAATGAATTTAAGAAACAGATAGTTGTTATTGGTTTTCTTATCTATTCTTCTTCAAGTTAGATGATGTTAAGATAGTGTATCTGCTTATAAAACATATTGGCACATCTCTGTTAGGCATATTGCCATAGCTCTCGGGAGTTACTTACCTGTGTGGTGGATGTACGTAAAGGTCTTAGGCTATTGCCTGAAGATGCCAATTGCAAACATACCTGGCTTCAAGCCATCAGCATCTATACATACGTATGTACTGTATACTGTTAGCCTATGATGCAACAACCTTTAAGGTTAAGCTACATGTATAGGTAAAAAGGTAGCCTGTAGAAGTAGATAGGTATAATCTTGAAGAGATCAGTTTGTGTGATTTGTTCGTACTAGCTAGAACTATATAGATTGTAGTTATTCAATAGACAGTCAAGACAACTCAGTGGATATATAAGTCTATAATATCTGGTGCTTATCAAATATGGAGATAATATCATGAGTATTATGGCCAATTGTTTTAATGTTACACATATTTTGTACTGATAAACTGTGCGTCTGTGTACTTTAGGACTATTGTATCCTTCTATCGACTTCAAACATGCCTAAAGATCCGTTACTGGTAAAGTATAATTTTATTTGTATTAAATTGAATTTTAAGTTAAGTAAACAGGCCGATTGAAATAAATTTCATTTATGAATTGAAAGACCCTGATATCCGGTTCAATAATGTGATATATTATATTAAGCCTACATTTAGGTCAAACTGATAATTTAGCCTACACGTGGTAAGCATATCATTCAACTGTAACATCATGCATAGTTAATATTCTATATTATTATAGAGGATGTTTTGGTGATACAAACATATATGTATAAGAAATACTGTAATTTAGAAATTTAATGCTTTTGATTGACAAGAAGTTTAGTCTTTGATTGAGTAGGCCTACTTAATAAAACAAACAACAGAACGCTCATTTTTTTTACAAGATTAAGGCAAATGTTGACTAACAATTACATAATGTTGTACTTTTAAAAGAGGTGGTAGAGGTAAATAGTGATCGCTCCATTTACACTACTATCTACATGTAGTTGGGTATCATGTACAAGCCAGGGAATGCAAGCTCTTTCCAAGAATACTTTGTGCCACTTTTCATCCGGGAAAACTCAAATAGCTAACAACTTTTTTTTATTACTGTGTTGTGTAATTTAGTGTGAGAATCATTATGTAACATTCTTCTCCATTTGTTTTGGATGATCAATCAAACTGTATGTTTCCATGTCTTAATTAGTAAATATTATTTTTCTATCAACCATGGTATCTTTTGTTGAAATAAAGATATGATAAATATTTCTAAATTGACAGTGATCATCTGATTAAAAGACCTGATTTTATTGAAATTGACATTCCATAACACTATCAGCTGAGGTTTGACCTACTTGGAATACCATGTACATGTATTTGTAGTTTTTGTAAATTAATTTACAGAATGCTACAAATTCATTGTTGAAATAACCGAGATTGTATGATTTAATTATGTTCATTACAATGTATGTTACTGTATCATCGACTGTTGACTGTTCCATAGTACATTGACTGTTTCATGTAGATGCTGTTCTACTTATGCATTAACATACTTAACATACTTCTCCTCCAAAGTGTTACTGAATTATGCTGCATACAAAAATTTATGACCTACAATGAGTTTTATATTAGGAATTACAGTTATTAATAGATGTGACCCCACACACACACACACACACACCTTCTGATTGATGCTATGATGTAATTATTTCATTATCCAGGACATATTCCAAATTGTGTATTTTGCCAAAGGTCCCATTGTCATTGCTGGAAATTCTTGGCACAGTACTGTTATTACTGTTGGTAAATTTAAAATGATGAATTTGAATTGAACTCCATTTATACATACAGTCTATGTAGAATTTTATTTATTACACTATTGATTTATTTTTAATTTAATTCAACAATATTTCCATTATTTGGTTTGTCGTTGAAAGAATTAAACTTGTTTTATATACATGTATATTCATGATAATGAGGATTAGAATATTCAAATTAGAACTGTAAATTTTCTATTATTTAGTTTGTCGTTAAAGATGTCAGCTTGTAACCTTGGTTGATATATTCATTTAGAATATTCAAATTAATAATGAAATGAAAAAGTCTGTTGGTCTCAAGATTGTTAGTACTGTACAGAATGGTTTTGTTTTTCACTTGATTATGAGCATGAGAATTGGCTTCAAGAACATCGGATTAAATTTTAGCGCTTCAAGAATTTGATATCAATACACATGGAACAGCTAAAGTTCAATCCAATTTTCCGTGATCTCCAAATACTTGATAGTTTCAATATTAAACTATCGGGATAATTTATTGTGTTTAATATTGTTTTTAATGTTTTGTTTTATTTTTTTTCAGGGTTCAGGATACCTGGACTATAACCAGTCGTTGACACTGTGGTCCACGAATATGGAGTTAGAAACAGGAATAAAATGTGAACCGAACAGTCCACTAGGACTTAGTCGGTGTTCACAACACTCTTTAGATGACAATTTTGATCGTGATGTGTTTGGGGATTATGCAGCACACGATGACTATGGCTCGGACAGATCGTATCAAGGTGATAGCGGGGATAGCGGAAATATATCACCATGTAGTGTGGAAAATAACAAAATGGACTTCTGTACAAGTACGTTGGTGTCAGACACAGAACTATTGGATGGGACTAAACGTGTTTGTTTAGTATGTGGAGATATAGCATCAGGTTATCATTATGGTGTTTCATCTTGTGAAGCTTGTAAAGCCTTCTTTAAAAGAACTATACAAGGTAGGTAACTCATGTCATTGGATCAATTATTGATTTTATTACCGTAAATAACAAATAAATATAAAGTGGCACCATGTTCATTATGAACAGAAATCAGCGTCAAAAATAAAAAAACAACATTCTGTTAAATGAAGGAATTGTAAGACATAAAACGATTAGTTTATATGATAAATGGTAACAATGTGTTAAATACCATGTAAGGTTCACGATGTACATGTATGTACAGATGGCTTCCACTATTAACATTGTAATCTGAGAAAAGAATGCTGCTGCTTGCTCCAGTTGTTGGATCTGTAAGATGGTGATTCATATTGGAACATTGATTCTGGACTATAAATAAATATGTGGTCTAGATTATACACAAAGGTATGGTTCCACCTACAATGGAATCTTAGATACTCAAGTCAGATAAGGTCATTGTGCTTTGAAAACCAATACAGCGGTTTGGATTGAGAGAATAATCGTACTTTGACCTTTTCACTGGATTTTTTGTACTGGCTATATAATAATGCACATGTACAATTTACATGTTACACATGAAAATCTTTACAATATCTGAATTTTAAATATTAGGCAACATTTATTAACCATTAATATAACACAAAGTTTGAATATGAAATATTTTAAAATATTTACACTAAAAACTCAACTTGTAAAATACTTAAGAATTTATTAAATCAAAGTATTTGAAATTTTTCATTGATAACATAAATTAAGGAATATGATTAAAGCCTCCAGTCCTAGTTCATTAGTATAATAATAAGCCACTGTACAATAGTTATTGATATACCTGTTTATAAGCTCTATTGTGACGTTACAGTAGGAAGCTAATCTCTTGCATTGTATTTTAGCTTAGGTTAATAAGCTTCTTTGATACACAAACCTAATCTGGCATTTCATGGGTTGTGGTTTAATTGAATAGTTTACTGGTATTTACTAATGCATGTCGTTCTTGTATTCCAAGGCTAAAACATTAAACATGTCACAACTTGATTACTAAAATAGTGTTGATTTCCTCACACCATTTATACTAAATTCAATAAAAATTTGTGAAAAATATTTTTCAACATTTTTAAAAACAATTTACAAAGGAAGCATTAATGCAAAAAGTTTGTAAAAGGACGGAAAGGTGAAAAAATGGAGGAAATTGATGGATTAGGTGTCAGGAATTAAACAGTACCCCAAACTGTAGATCAGCATGTCATTATATTACACCCAGGTGTGAAACGGTTTTATTTCGACTATTTCCAGTTAATCGTTTCTTTATTTTATCCCACACTGTTGTAAATAATTGAACCCTGGTATGGTGAATTGGTCACGTAGCTAACTGTGTGTTGAAGTAGAAGTTACTTATTTCGTGTAAACATCCGTGGTTGGAGATGAAACCATCGTAACATGGCCATGTGCTGTTGTATGTTTGTACCTTATTAACAGGCTTTATCAGTGTAAATCTTACAGCCAACATACCTTTTTAAAGATAATGGGTCATCATACTGTACAGTAAACCTTTTCTCTACTCTGAAAACGGTTTTACTAAATCGATCGAAAACTTTATAAAGCAGAAATGTTTTTGTGCAAAATAATGCATTCAATTATTTGAATGTCATTTTCAATTTGGGGTTAACAATGGACAACCATACATGTATAAAGAAAATTTGACATAAACATGTGGCTTTACCAACGTCCTTTTATGTACATATAACTTAATCCCTAGCGCCTTGTAAAATAGAACAGTGCAATATTCAAAATAGGAATTATTATTTGAATTTCATCCTAAGATAAATGATAAATTTTATTTATAGATAAGTAGTTGTAAGATAACGCTATTCATAGGATGTTTCTGTTTGAACTGTCTTCTAGAATTTCACTGTCTTATTATACAATAATAATATCGGTAATATCATTTTTCACAAATATTTGTATTTTTTGATACCAACTAAGAGCATTAGATGATATAAATTTACAAATCCATTATTAGCTTTAGAGGATTAAGTAGAAGAGGTTATGTTTTATATTAACAACACTGTTTCACAGGTCTTCATCAAGAAATATGAGTAGGGCTACCTATTTTCTTTTAAGATAGGTCAGCAAGAAATCTTGATCTACATGTATTAAGTACATTCATAGTGAAATACATGTATGGGGACTGCCCCACACAGAAATAAAAAACACCAAAAACAGCTTGAGTTAATGATCCAAGTTCAAACCAATTGCAACAATTGTATTAATGTAAATTAAATTTTTAGTTTTCATTTTGGCTACATAATTTACATAATTGCATACTTTATATTAATTAAAGTTTACCCTGACTGAACTCTTGAATGAAAGACAGATATACTGGTTATTAATGAGTTTTGTACATGTTGGTGAATGGCAAGTTAATGCCCAGACAAAGCTGATCCTTGATGTTAATCTGGTAATGGAGAAATTCTAATCATCTTAAGATTTCAAACTCTTATAAAATCATGTACACATAGTGTGACATGAAACTTAAAGGGCTTATTCTCTCATATATTCTTACGTGATTGTACAACAAGAACATCATTATCTTGTTTTAAGTTTTTCATTGATCAGCGATACATTGTCTTGATTTTACATTCATGAAGAGTAGTCACAGATAACAAAATGTCTTATTACAGTTCATACCAAAATTTTTGCTTTATGATACTCTAAGCTGCATCAAATTGTTAACACATTGCTTGTAGGTAAAGTTCTTATTACAGTACAGTACATGGAATCTGTTGGTTTTGTCCATGTATTGCTAAATTTCTTCAAAAAAGCTACACATGGTGTATACAATGTATCTTAAATATCAACACATTGCATGTACATACATGTATTGTAGTTAAAATTCTTAATACAGTACATGAAATCAGTTGGTTTTGTCCATATTGCCAAATTTCATTCTAAATTAGCTACCTCACATTATTAACACATTGCAGGTACATGTAGTTGAAATTCTTAATACAGGACACCGATGAGTATGGTACATGAGTACATGAAATCAGTTGGTTTTGTAAATGCTACCTAAATTTCATTCTATTCTGTTTACTAGATGTAGCTTAAATTGTTAATTGTTTTTGCATTCTGAATATGGCTGTCAAATTCTTAGTCCCATTAACTCATTGATTGTCATTGATTTTTCATTCTGAATGGAAGTATTATTACAAATCTATTAGAAGTTACTATTTGCTGAACAATCTTAATTAAAATGAATATAATTAGGTTATGTCAATTTGATCTAATTATACATTAATTGATTAACGATAACTTTTCAAATCTGTTAATATATAATAGTCCAACATGTGTACATGTGGCCATATGTAATTACGAGTATCAGGGTGAATGTACGAAAGTAACCTGTAAGGGAATGTTGTCGATTCTACGTCTGTCGGTATTCTATTGATTTCCAACCCAATCATCGATCAACTGACAATAAACTTATTTCTATGATAGAATTAAAAGCTGTCATGGCAAAAACACTGAATTATATTGTATGCAGATATTGTTTTCAGATTATTGTATTAATCCATTTTGCTTTTGCTGGACTCAGTTGAAGAGTTGAAGGCTAGTTCAGTGAGACCCTGGTATTACATGTATATACAAAGGACAAGGTCTATAATATTAATAATATCATACTCTTTGAGATTTGGTTGGAGATTTGCTATTCATATTCATGTTAATATATTGTTACATAGCATGGTTCACTAGTTAAATTTTATGTAGAAAATATTAACCCCATGGTCCCCATGTGTGTCATACCATCTGTTGTATGTGTGTGGCTTTGTATAATATTGTATACAAGAACGTGACCTGGCTACTCTATAGTAAACCATTATTAGTAACTTTATTAACAAGTCATTGAAATCTTCAGACAAGCTTGAAAATTCAGGAAATTAAATTGCTAGCTTGGCTCATGTCTCAGACAACATCATTTGTTTTAAGGCCATTGAAGTTAGAATTTTGTAACTTATTTTCGACTTTGATATTCTTGATTGAAATTTTTATATCGCACATAAAGCAATTTCTGTATTATTAAAGTTATGACAGATTTATGCATTAAAGATTAAAGCAATTTCTGTATTATTAAAGTTATGACAGATTTATGCATTAAAGATTAACATCTTTAAGGTGTTGCGGACTAATCTATATATTCGTTAGTGACATAATATACTTATTGCGCGGTAGATGCTAGGCATGTACACACACGTATGAGGTTACGTATAGTTAGAGGCATGTTCACGAATAGTTGTTTAACAGTGATGGTCAGGTTAACTGGATTGCTGATTTCTCTATTTGAATATTCTAAATCATTTCATCAAAACACAGTTGCTTTTTGCACAATCAGGAAGAGTTGATGTTTTTTTGCCATTCGATGAGATTATTCTATTGGAGTGTTATGTAAATTGATCAAGGGACCATTGAGAGTTAAAACTCTGAAATTTGTGGCTTTCAAATCGATTTAAATGTATTTTGAGCGAGGTGACCTTAGTTTGATGGATATTATTTAGATTTGACATTAAATACATGTAAAAAGAGATTTAATAACACTCTCCAGCCAAGTTTTTTTGAAAATCGATTTATGTTGCCCTATTGCCTCCATTGATGAAAACTACATTTCTTAAGTAGATATATTGCATTTGCCTAAGGTAAGACTTGTCTGTCTTGAAACGAATTCGGCGTGGTTCTCCCTTGTCAGTGATGCAGGACGGAGGGGCTGACAAGGAAAGTTGTCTAGTCGTTCGGATGGGACGAAAAACCGAGGTCCCGTGTACACATTGGCGTGCACGTAAAAGATCCCTTGGCAGTTGGAATTCGATATAAGAGTAGACCGTAGTGCCGCTTTCAAGGGCTAAATTTCCCTCATAGCACACTGTATGGCGTATGCCCGTCTTCATTAGCCCAGGTTAGGAGCAGAACAGTAGGACGTTAAACTCCATTTCATTTCATTTCATTTGAAACGAATTCCTAGGTTTTGCTTTAAAGTTCCGGGCCCTTATTTACGAAAACTTAAACTAAGTTACAACCAAAATTTTAAGAAATACTGCAACTTCATTAGATATATGCAAATTGATTTTACTGGTCAGCCAATCGAATTGCTGTATTTCTTAAAATTTTGATTGTATCTTAAGTTAAGTTTTCGTGAATAAGGGCCCAGATATCTTATTTGTCTATGGGTATGGTAGTTAACAAAATTTCCCTAATAGTCCACTGCATGGTCACTGCATGGTGTATGCCTGTCTTTATTAGCCCAGTTGGTGCAGAAAAGTAAGACTTTAAAACTCATCTCATTTTTTCTTGGAGGGGTTGGGGCAAGTTCTAATCCAAAGTTCGACTAATATAACATAAAATGAATCAAACTTACTTTTTATTTTAATCTGATTTGCTTGTTTGTGATGTAACAGTCAATTAAACATGGTAGGCATGCGATAGGTACGTGTACATGCTAGATTTATAATATACACTATATGGCATGCAATTGATAAGCTAAAATTACACTTTACAAGTGCACATACGTAATTTGTAGCCTACAGCTTAGGTATGTGTGACGAATAAACAACTTGTTATGTTTTTCTACCAACACATTATTTAGACTAGTTTTTACATATGCCAGAGGTGATGCCTGTATCATACAGTGTATGAAAATAAGCTATCTACACCTTGATCTCTATGCAAGTATGAAACCATCTGCAACAGAATCTACTTATCTGTGTTAATTAAAACCACTCCTTATCTATACGTCACATCATATAATTTAAGTCTGCATACTGTACTTGATTTTCATCATCTTTTAATTACAATAAACACTTTTAACAGTGGTATACCTATATTCTCTCAGTATATAACTTTTGATCCAAAGAAAATTCATATCTTTTAGTACACTGTGTACAGTAAATATTGTTGAAATTGCTCTTGTTCAGTTGTATCTCCATTTACACTTTGTCACTATAAATGTTTCGCTCTCTAAACCTCCCCAGGATGAGATAAAATTAAAGAAATTTGCACCATTTACATTGCTGTCAAAAACAGTTCCGGGTATGCTAAATGTTGAACTTTTCACAAATAATAATAGGCTTTGGACATGTGTTATATAACAATGACTGCAGTAGCAAGGGTTGGCAGCAGTCTGATTACCTGGACAGCAGTAGAGATCTTTCTGAAACTCAACTTGAGTAAGTTTCCTGACTTGTGAGTAGGAATGAATGCCAAATAATTAGATAAGATATATGTCAGGACATTGGTGGTGAAAGAATAGAAGAATTGTGGAATTGTCTTAAAATACCAACATTACAGAATAATTATTATAAAGGTTATAAATAGACTTTAAGATCATACACATTCAAAAGTACTTTTATTCAAAGAAAAAAATATCAATTCTTCTAAATGGCCATTTATCTTTTAATCATAAAAATATTAAATGATAAAGAATGAGTAAAATAATCTTTATATATGTCACACTAGAATAAGCATAGTTTATTTTATTTTTTTCTGAATCATGAAGCATGAACTCATTTCTTAACCTCATAATGTCAGAACTCAGTTAAAAAATATTTTTTACACTAATATCACTCAGTCGTAAATAGTCGTACATTGTTTTTTACTTAAGGCTGACCTGTCCGAGTGTTATATTTCATGTAACATGTACTTAGAACGTAACATAAACAGTTTAGCTTTGAAGGCCCAACATTCCAGACTAAATGTAGAAAAATGCAAATATAGGCTTTTAGGTCATATACAATTAGAAGTACATGTACCTGTAGTCTTATAAAAAGTATGTTGGTCCAAAACTTGTTAAAATTGATGTCATAACACTATAAGATGCCAGGGATCAATTTAGATAAAATTATTTATGTAGCATTTATTATTGTACACTCCATATTTTTTGCTCATATTGAGTCCTATACTGACCAATTGATGACTGAAGGATAACAGATTTCTTTCCATGATTATGGAGGTCAGGATGGTACATTTTAATCATCTAAATTATTTTCTAAAGAACACTTTTCAATACCCAATTACTGTGGACATCACTGAAAAATTAATTATACTATATAGTATCAAAAATAAAGCCTGTGGGCTGTTGAGGGCAAGCAAAACATTAAATAGAATTGCTGTTATGTTTTCAGGTAATATTGAATACTCCTGCCCAGCAAGTGGTGAATGTGAAATCACGAAACGAAGACGTAAAGCCTGCCAGGCTTGCCGATTCCAAAAATGTTTACGAGTCGGAATGCTTAGGGAAGGTAAGCTAACTTTTGAACTTATTTTCAACCAGGGTTCTTAATCCATTTTGAAACAAACTTTCTAGAATTCGGTCAAAAGAGTTCCTTGTAGCAGGCTAGCATCAATTCTTCTCCTCTCCTGAATAATTTTATTTTAACTCATCACTCATGTTTGCTTCTGGGAAACCATAGAGTTAGTTGAGCTGTATATGGATTTTATTTACACAAATTTATACATATGTGTGTGTGATGAATTCAGATCTGTACAAATGCCTACCAGACACAGACGTGATGAGCAACCTACATGTTCATGGCCTGACTTCCTTACCATTATAATCTAATTCCATGTTTTATGGATCACGCAAATTGGGAAAAAAAATCCGCCAACGCAGTTCATAAATATATGGTTTTAACCAATTTTAGCCAATGATTTTCTTTTTCTTGCCTTCCACATGAATGAATCCGACAGATAAGTGAAGAAAATTACATCATAAATAAAAGTGAAGTAAAGTGGTATTTTGACAATCAATAGAGCTGAAAATCAAGTCGTAATCAACGTATAATGTAAATGAACTTTGGTAAAAATGAAACGGAAATGGATGCTGTGAATTTGGACTGTCTTGTTAAGTCTGAGGAATATCGATTGTGAAGCTTACCAAACATTGATTTTCTTGCTTTGCTCATTAGATGAATGTATTCGGGGTTTCTTTATGTGGCAAATTCCTTCGGTCGGTGTAGATCCAATAAACTAAGATAAACAGTGGCTAGTATTCGCATCAAATGATACGCCATTGATTATATAAGATATAAAACACACTTCTGTGTAATGATATATCTACTAGTAAAATTAGTAGAATTAACATAAGTCGCCCTGTAACCAATAAAAAAAATCAAGTTTGTACTTGTCTGGTAAGATATTTTAGACACCCACTCATATTGACTGAAAAGAACAGTTCTTTGAATCTGAAAACAAAAAGCATGTATCGATCACGTTAACATTTCAAAGGATTGGTTTTCTTTTGGTATTTAATTCGGTTTGATAGAATATTGGAATGGAAAATGCTAGGCACTAATCCTGACCTCACCTCCAGACAAGGATAATGCATTTATAGATTCTTGGAATGCATTGCATCCTTTTTATCAATAACATGCACATGTGGAATGGGTTGCGATTTGATTTCAATGTGTACCAGACACCTCGCAGTGAGCTCAAATCATGTATTCAATTATCCCGACAGACAATTCGCAAACTTTGCCATTAATAATTCAATAATTTTGTCAATGGTTCAATGGTTTTATGTACAGGGAATGATTGTATTATCAGTTTTATCCAATGAATTGTACATATTTCAAACCAGCTTACCCTTATTTACACAAGTCTCTTCACAGAAATTATATAAGGTCTTGTCTTTGAAGTTATATTATTTTTTAATGTTATGAAAATCAGTGGGAAAGTAATTTATAATAGAGAACTTTGACTTGAGTGCTTGAGGTACTTGGGAACAAATGAACTGCTTGTTTTAACATAACTAAATAGATATTAATGGTTAATGCAGAGCTCTTGCAAGCCGATGTGTTTTATTATTAAGACTCCTGTTAAAAACAGAATTGTAGATTTCCCGATAGTGTGTATACAAACTATTGATGTCATTGTTGTTTTTCATAAATTTTTACCTGTCTAAAGTCAGAACTACTATTGGATTTACCTATAATGTAAGTCAGAATTGTTTTTTTTTATGAGGTAAAAATGGTCTTTTGGCTCGTACCTTATATCAGTAGGCGTATGGTTATTTGAGAAATGCCATAACAGACGAGTTACATATAAAAAGCCTACAGACCTCTGTGATACCTTCATACCTTTCTTCCTTTAATGTATTTCTCATATTCTTACTTTCTGTCTTTAAAATAGAACTTCATGTATGCATCGTACATGTACCAATAGTGCTCAATGCCCCTTAGGATAAATTGAGGTTCAGTTTATTTTATTATCATGGCAGAATTTATTAATCCTATGATTGTTCATTGAAGTTAATGCTTTATCTCAATCTTATTACAATATAGATCTATATTTCGCTTCGTTTTTTTATACTTTCGATGGCCTACACTACATGAAGATCTGACAAGTTGTACAATAAGGCCGTGTCAGGGGTCGTACAAGTGGCTTTTGACCCTATGATGTCAGACATTGATTAATCAATCAGTGTTGACGTTTCTAGTGGTTTACTCACAGTTCCCTGCATGGCACACCAAGAAGTCGCCATAACAGATCGTTTCATTGGCTTATCCCTCACTTCAACCAAAACGCTGGTAATATAACAACTCTTCCAGATCCTAGTGTAGTATTAAAGACAAGTAAAACGAAATTTTGAACTATAAAAAACGAAACGAAATGTGATCTGTGTTTTAATCAGATTGGCTTTATCTTAACACAGTTTACTCCCGAACTGATGAGGTATGTTTGATTTTGTGTTTACAAAATGGCTAATGATGATAGTAACAGCTGGTTGGATAGTTTGTTACAAACAGGTGATATTTTGTATTTTTTTTATCAGAGTTTAAAAGTTCTTCCTGTTGTTGAATTCAGGATTAAAATGTTGGAATCATGTTGTTCTGTCAGATTATCAGTCCAAACAGACTTTCATGCAACTTTTCTTCCTATGCTAGTTTTAAGGAAACAACTGTTGACTTGTTATGAAATTTGAAACAAATAGATTAATAAACCCCAGTAAGACAAATTTTCTGCAAGGCATATATAGGTACGGTACCTTCTGTTTTTTTGAAAGTATTGCAAGAAAAACATAATATAGGTTAAGGTAACCATTAAGGTTATTATAAATTAATGCCATGAAAATTTTCAAGATTCCATTCATAATTGGGCTTGAATGGTTTATAAGATATGGCCTGCAAGTTTTGTGTTTGTATACCTCAGATTTATGCAGATGTAATCTTATATTTTAATATAAATTAATCTACATGTTTTTTGTACAAGAAAAGGTACATTTAATACATCATATGTATTCCTAATTTCATGCATGGAATACAAAAATTCATAACATTTGGCAGTGATCACCAAAAAACCCTGAAGTCTGGGAAGGATGATATTTTTTAAAGGTTACTGTATATGTGTGAAGAATGAAGTGTTGAAATATAGATTTTACAGCAGTGTAAATATCTACTATAGACCTATAATTGATTGAATGCTGGTAAACAAACCAGCTATAACTCGTGGTTTGGGGAATGTGAACTTGATACTTTAGCGGAGGTGCCAAAGTGGCGTGAAGCAATTTGATGGTATCTGGTGCTATATATAGTCTGATCACTAAATCACGGTAAAACAGATGGAGGTGTTGGATGCTGGTGATTGTTGATGAGCGTAAATTAAGGATAAATTTCTTTATTTCCAATAAGAACAGATGGGAACCTGGTTAATGTACTTTCCTAAAGTATCGCAAACCTTGGACTTGATTCATCTCTAAATGTAGTTCATCCAGTTCGTCATTTTGTTTTTATAACAAAACAAAAACTCTTGATGAATCGGCAATCTCTTGATCATAATTCAAGATCAGCAAGGTATAAGATCTTTGTAAAATTATAAAGCATTAGAATCTCCCTTTTTGATTGATAAAGACAAAGGTATCCATAGAATTATTGAGTAAACTTTATTTATATTAATAAGCTTAGTTACCTTGGTTTCACAATGAAATCTGTTTAAAAATTTGTGTAGGGATATTATTAGAAGATTGTAGGCGAAAAACAAATGAATCTTTCTCAGTAGTCTCTTAAATCAGTCCCCCTTTCCGTTTGCTTACGTAAAGAGAATAATAAATTTTCCTCCTCCTCAAATTCTAGCAACAAACCATCTCTCACAAGAGACAAATTGGTTACAAATACATTTAATACCATAGCTAGATTTTTGAATTAGGTTTGGTTAAATAATCTCCTTTCATTATAAGTAGATCTATATACCTGTAGTATCTGTAACAATTTATTTTGATTCAATCCCAATCAACTGATTGCTCTTCAGGGAAAAAAGAATGATGTTCCTGAAAATTGATTTAGCGTTGAGTCTGTTCTCTAGTAACCAATACTTTCACCTATATAATTATGATAATAGTTATAACGGTTGTCTACCGAGATTAATGCCACCAAATGCTGATAGTTAATCTTATAAGTAATAAATATACAGCTGTTTCTTATGTTTTGGCTGCATATTTCTTCACTAAGCACTGTTAAAATACGTGCAGTATGCCAAGTTAAAATAGATGCAAGGTTGATAAACCGACTGTTGTGCTTTTTTTCCTAATCGCTTTCCTGTAGGTATGCAATTAGCAGATCAAAGTGTGACGCATCTCCGCCAAGATTCCCTTTTGATATTGGTCTGTGACTGAGATTGTTGATGTACATGTATAAAGCATTTTACTTCTAAATAAAAAAAAATCACAATTGATGTCTACTTTTAGTCCTACACATAATCTATGTTGTGGTATAATGTAGCCAGATATAAAGGACTATCTTGTCATCAGCTGTCATTAATAATTACTGGAAACAAGAATTTAACCACAATATTTGGTACTATTCCCTCCACTTTTGTTTACAACAATTTCAACTTTATGAACAGTAATAAAGATAGCTGATTTTAATGATTGTCTATGACGCTACAGTAGCAATCAGCAGTCAGAGTGGTCAACAATCTGATTACATTGACTACAGTAGAGATCATTCCAAAACTCAATTTGAGTATCTTCTACAAATTTTGAGTATTTTGACTGCTAGTAGTAGTAATAAGCTTACATGTACTTCAATCCTTTATGGATCATGTGCACACATTGTTTATTGGTTAGAAATAAAAGTCTTTTAAGTTGTTTTCTTTAATGTAAAATTTGATTACCCATTGCTGGTGCATCAATAGAAAAGAGAAATCAGAGACATTTAATATGATTACACATCCCTGTTGAAGATTTGCTTTTATCGAAGCAAGTCGATAATTTTTTTCATTGGTCTCTGTAACAATTTATATCAATTTAACCGATTGAAACTGACAAAAAAATAAAATTCTAAATTTTGCAAAAATAAGTAAATGTTTTCGGAAATTGCGCTGTTGTTATATTGCCAAAGTAAAAATGGCTTTCTCGGGAGCACACACTTCCCCTATAATACTGTAAAAATCCATGGAATATTAATAGATTAAGAAATGTCTTGCTTGGGCCTTGTAGTAATTTCATTTACTCCTAGAAAAAAATATGTGTAAAATGTATGACTTGATGAACATTCTACACGTAGATTCTCATTCAAGAAATCTGAGAACACTCAATGGTCTGATCAGTGACAGGAAGTCAGGTTAATAAAATACATTCAGTTTGATTAAAGTAGCATTGAGGTGAAAATTGATATATTTCTTAATCCCTGGAGATTAATGATCATTGGAACAAAAGTAATTTGTGGGATATGATGTAAGGTTAATGCTAACGTATGAAATATTGATAGGCTCTGTCAGGCATCATAAATAAGTAGTAAAAGTATATTTGATAGTAATTACTAGAACATCTAGAAAGACTACTGATTAGTTAGACCACTGACAATCTAATCTATCAATTATAGACTCAGACATTCCATCAGAAACACAGAATACACCAGTAATGACCACTAAGCTATATTTTTACCACCAGGATAAGGTGTTTAACTGTCTGAAAAAGGTGTCCAATTGTGTTAAAGTAGACATTTTATACAATGTTCTTTTCATTTCAGTACATTCCTCTCTGAATCTTTCAATTTAAAAGTGTTCCAATTCATTTAAGACCCCTTGTCTAGTAAGATTTGTAGTCATTTAAGTGATGAATTTCGGGTTAATTTAAATTATTTTATGGCATATAATGTGTGTACACCTACTGATCTAGTGGTGCCAAGCACATGACAGATGTAAGTGTCAAACATCTATATCTCTGTCAATGTATACATGTAGCATCACACACATAAAGTTCCCTGATTCATGTTATTATAGAACAACTGTATTCTTCATTATTTCGCCACAAGTAGAATTATTGTTGATGGAAGATTTTATCATGCTGGTCTTTTTCCTGACATTTGGTTTAGTTGCTGTTATGTTTTCTGGATGTTTTAAACATTTGCATGAATGAACATCATCATCATCTTGTAATAGATTTTATACTTGATTTCATATTTTGTACATTAAGTGATACTCGATCATTCTGTATTTATGAAGCCAATATAAACAAATATTGTATGGAATGTTTTGTGATGTTATAGTTTGTCAAAAAAATGGAGTTCCAATATTATCTAATTTTTTAAACAAAAGATATTTTGTGTATACCGGTACTTGTAGAGACATTGCTCCTGTGCATACTTATACCTGTTGCTTCTGTGCATACTTGTGTCGACATTGCTCCTGTGCATATGTGTAGTAACTAGTGACATTGCTCCATCATCAGAATTTCTTCCTCTATTTTGGTACACGGTAACAGCTTATTTGTGACATCAATTTGAAAACATAACAGATGAATTTGTAATGTTTATGTCACGGGAGACATAGTTTATGCTCTTGACTGTCAGGAATAGAAAATAGATACAATCAGAAACACAAGAAGTAATGTGTATCTTACTACTGTATTGATTACTCTATTAATTTTGGCACTGTGTTTCTTTCACCGGTGTGATAGATTTGCATTAGTTTAGTCAATAAATAGGCTTTTGATTTAATTATGTACGCTTTTTAGAGTTTCTGTCCTTTACATCAGAAAGAAATGGATGAGATATGTGCGAAATGTTGTCAGGATGCACGCAGCAACTGCAGCAAATCAGTCAATATTAAAGACCTTTTTTGGGTGGTGATTATCAACAACTGTCAAGGGATATACTGATGTTCATTTTCCAAGCTTTTTTTTTGACAGATGTTAGAACTTTATATTAACAATGGGATAAATAAGCATTACATATTTGCATATTGGTTTGGATTTATTTGCTTCTTAATGTAAACTAAGAACAATAAATACCAATTAGAAGAGATAACTCAATTCTAAACATGTCTTTATAAACACTGGTTTACACAAAAAATATTTACATCAATAACTAAAAATTAAGCAGCAATGTTGACTGTTTCTAACCAAGAATGGTTGTTAATACTAGTAATTAGAACAAACAGTGACAACTGATGTAAAGAAAATAGATTTAAACTATTTAAAGTAGAATAGCGTTAAGAAGTTTCTACTTTATATCTTCTACAGTTAATTTGATTATTACAAGTACATGTAGGGTTGTGTTTATAAATGTTCATCATTCAATCAATTCAAGTAAACTGAACACTATGTTTATAAATTTTCATTCAGTCAATTCAAGTAAACTGAATAATGTTTATAAATGTTCAGCATTCAGTCAATCCAAGTAAACTGAATAGTGTGCTTATAAATGTCCATCATTCAATTAATCAATTCAAATAAACTATGCAAACTGCAGAGCTGAATTAGGGTACTGGTTATTACTGGATGATGCCTATGAGTACTAAAGAAGCAAACAGCACAAACATTTTTATTCTCTTTTACTTTAGCATCATGCAGCTTGGACCTGTACATATGCGTGGCTTTATTAAAGGATGTTTGCCAAACATTACATGGTTTGTTAATAAGCAACAGTTTGGTGGAGTTTTTAATTTATTTTTTGTTTGAATGTTTTCAGGTGTTCGTCTTGACAGAGTTCGTGGTGGTCGTCAGAAGTACAAGCGAGGTATTGACTGCCAGCCTGTCTTGCATCCCGTTTACCCAATCAAAAAACCCTGTGTAGAATGTAAGTATATGTTTGACTGTGGCAGCATTTATGTAATTACTGAATTGGACTGTTAGTGCTAAATTAAATCATTTTTTGACTTTGAACATCTTAGATGTCTGTTAAGGCACAATATATTGCCTAATTGGTTTCATATCTAATTAAGTGAATGTAAAAGTAATAACTTCTAAAGATATCAAAAGATGCATGTCTTAAAAACTTATAAATATTTAAAGCATCTTGTAACTAGAGATTCATTGAACTTTGATTGAATTCTGCTGACACAAAGCGGTGCATGCAGGTAACACATCCGTACTTAAAAGACAGTTCATTTAGGTTAAAAAAAAATGGTAGCATATTCTGAATAAAGAAACATTAATGGTGCTTTCTATTATGAATATTTACTGAAAGCTTTTAAAGAATAAAGTTTATTGTTTAGGTTCTATGTAAAGATTGTTGAAGGAAATCCTACTTGAAAGGAATATTAATGATTAATCCTCCCCCTCATGTTTGATATAGATTATAGTAGAAAATGAAGTGATGAATTTCTGCGTAGTACTGTGTTAAGATCAATTACTTTACGTAAATGTGACTGGAGTGTGTGTATTGAGTGGTTATTGGCATATACACATGAATTTATCTGGGTTTATTTGAATTGTCAGATCAATAAACATTCAGCAAAATACCTTGAAGAAGTCGTCCTTAAAAAAAAAATAGTTATTTTTTTATGATTTGTTTAAGATTCTCAAATCAGTCATTTGTCATAATCATAATATAGCAATTTTACATCGTACATTCGTACTAAGTACATCCCTTTTGATTTGCTTAAGTTCTAATGATATCCACCAATCAAATAGAGTTTTGAATATGAACATAGTATAAACTGTGTTACAGTCTTTACTTTAATGACATTATTACAAGATGTATTGCTGCCGTGGAACTTTAAAGACATTATTACAAGATTCATTATTGGCGTGGAACTAAAGACCAGACTCCCCAGATAATAGATTATTCTCATTTTCCGTTTTTATTAGTTTAAAAAACAAAATCTTAAGAACGTAGTATAACGTACTGTATACAGTATCTTTACTTAAGGCTACATATATTGATGACCTTGATGCTTGAGAAAACCATATTAATTGTTCAATTTCTTATATTCTTCCAATGACTGTCAAACTGTGTTGTAGATGCTTATATTAAATGTGAAGTGTTATCACTAGATTTATCTTAAGTTAATTAACAGTAGGAGTTATTTTGGTCAATTAAGAAAGTAATAAGCCACGACTTCATTCTAAAATTGGTTCTAGGAAAAAACTTCCTTGATGAGGCATGTAATGGAAACTGGTTATACATGTTCATGTTAGAGAGAAATAAAGTAATTATGATAGGATTAATAAGATAACCCCCATTTATAGCTTACATTAAAATAAATCTGGTATCTATCAAATGAATACTTTGCAATTTGGAAATCTAGTTTTCAGTTTGTTTTTGTTTGGTGACAGTTCATCGGTATTATCAAAAAAAAGCAACATTATGTAACCAAATCAACTTATTTAATCCTTATAAATCAACTTATTGTCAGTAATTCATTTCAAAGACATTAGAAAATGTGTTATACATGTACTTTAGGATAAGATTAAAAAATGTTGTTTAAAAGATGAAATATTCCAGACCTTATTCTAGAAATAATCTTTAAGTAACTGTAAATGTACTTGAGAAATAGCTAGAGATGTGAATGTATTTTATATAAATACCTGACAAATTATATAATGGTTACAGTATAGCACTATTAATGTACATCTTTCATTTCAGACAGGTTACATTTATCAGTGTTAGGACATAACATACTTAAAATAGTTATTACCATGCCTACATGTACAATAGTAATACTGCCTACACATGCGTAGGTGTAATACAAGTGTAATTCTGATACAAGCTGACATTAATTGTAGCTGGCGCCAATTATTAGAAACACAGAAATTATTATTACTTATTTATAAGGAAGCCCCCCCCCCTTCCACCATGATAACTTTATTTGAACAACATTAAAGTTTAATTTCCTGATAATGAACTCTTAAAGTAAAACCATCAAAGGAAGTCATTTGATGGTTATATAATTTGTTATGAATTACGTAAAGTGGTTACAATATTTTTTCATGTCATATTATCGGTAAATCTATCTAATTAACCATGTAGTGATTGATAGCTACATCTTGTTAATGTAAGTACCTATAACTTGATATGATAAGTTTAATGTATGCTCTTACATGATTTATTGGAGTGCTTTTAAAAACTACACTAAAAATAGATTGAATAAGATGCTGGCAGTTAACTAGTGACAGTATGGATTCCAGTTACTAAGAATAGTCATTTGGTACATGATACTACACCATGTAATAGTACCATATTAACTAGTTTCTATGTATAGTAATAGTATAATAAAGTCATCCGAGTACAAGTCTAAGTTCATTGATCAGACTATAGATTAGATAACCTATAATAAGATCATTACACATCTAATCACTCATGACAAAAATACACACCACATGTTTTCTCAGAGTGATTCCATACAGATTTCTTAGTCATTTGGAATGTGGATTCCTGAAATAATTTTTGAAAAGATATCATGCCATAATTTACCTGTACATGTAGTTGAGGATAAATAATCAACTAATTTTCAAGATGACATTAGCCGTCATGGTGATAATAGTTTTATTTATTTCAACAATTAAACTTTTGATAATAATTTGAATTAAATTTATAATGAGAATTTGCATGTAAATTCTTGAAACAGTTTTATTAAAAGATTCTATGTCCATAGTTACATACACATCTGGAAATTAAAAAGGACAATGAAGTAATTTCGAAAATAAAATGGCAGTTATGAAGATTTATTCATTTAATATTAATATATACATGTATTATATTATAGCTTTATAATGTTACACAACTTTGTTAAAAACAAGTTGAGTCATAAACAGCATGGGTTATTAAATATTTCATGTTTTAAATGATATTTCCTGTGAACATCGCTATATGTCTGTGTGGGTTTTATTATCGTTGTAAAGTTCTAACGAGTTTATTATGACTTTTATTTATATTTATGATAATTAAAATCTGGGTGGATAAGAGTCATTTACCCCAGCTTCTGTCAAATTGCAGACATTGTGGTCACCCACTGACACACTTTATTGATAAGGGCACAAAGTTAAATTTTTAGTTTTGTTACCTGGGATACGGAAATGTTCTTATGATTAAACCATGCAAATATGTGCATATGTATAACTGCATTTAATATTTACGTGCAACGTATAAATCGAAAACTTATCCAACTCTGCATTAAAGGAAGTACAAAAGATTTTGAAATACTGACCACCTGTAGCCTTTTAATATTTTACGTCTTCCATTAACTACACCATTTTTATGCAAACCAGCCTCAAAGGAGGATGAGTCGTGCTTGGAATAGAAATTGCATTTTAATTTAACATGGCTGCATGTTCGTAGGTTCCCTTTCGACAAAAAGAGAAAGCTAGTTTTACTGGTACTTATTATCGAATAACTAACCCTGTTATAAAAGATTAGAAAGTATTTAGGTTTAAATACTGTTTGTGATCTTTCTTTTCATTGGAGATTGAATTAAAGGGTAGCGTGTATAAAGGGTTTAGAATTATTCACGGAAGCAATTTATAAAACCCAACCACATCCAGCCTTTACATTGAGTTGACTTATTGAAACTTATAACACTCTACAGATCTCAAATACTACATTTGAGGTTGGCTACCAAGATAATTACAGTAATTGCCGTTAAAGAGAGATAGAGTGGGCAAGAATATTGCAAGTTCCAGAGCTTAAACTTTTAGAATTTCTAAATTATAATGCATATTCAATATTATTTGTATGATTAATAGCTGGTTAATGATGGCAAATTATTCTGGGTTTATTGCAGCTTTAAGACAAAATCTCTTCTTCTCTTTACAGCTGAAAATAAAGTTCTGTCCACTCTCATGACATTAGAGTCTCAGTTAGACAAGTTGTTTGCCTCTCCAGATCCTAATGCTCCAGAAAGTGAGGTGAAGTTCAAGGCAGCTGTATCTGATCTCGCAGATCGAGAATTGGTCATCACAATAAGCTGGGCCAAACAAGTTCCTGGTGAGTCAACATAAGAATTTTTTAAAACTTGTATGTACATGTAGAATTTACTTCACTGTATTTAATGTTTCTTCATTTTTCATAACCAATTTGCCATCCAAAATTTGGAAAAGAAATGGTTTTAATGTACTACTAATGAAGACAGGCATATTCCATACAATGTTGTGACGGAAATTTTGCCTATCTAGTGTTTCTTTCCGACCATGTCAACGTGTACATAAAACGTTCTGACTTGCTAGGCTGGAAACCTCGAAGAACTTTCCCAGCTAACCCTTGGATCAAACCTAGTTCATCCAGGTTAGTCAGCCTGCACTTGCTCACTGCGTCCACATGCGACTCCCACCATAACTCTGAAAAATAAAGAAATATTGCAGCTTAATCTCTCAGGTTGCAAACTACCTTGTAAAGATAGACAATACTTCATTCATAATTAGGAGTACTAAAATCTGAAGTAGCTATATTAGAAAAAGTTTAAGGAGGCAATTGTATGTGAAGAGAACTGTTAAAAACTAATATGTAACATTTTAAAGTACTTCAGACTGTGATTGTGCCACTGAATAATCCATTCCTTTCCCAGTTTGATGACACCATTAAACAATTCTAATGCTTTTAATAATGACATTTATACACTTCATACGTTAAATGACTTGTTCAGATTTATACAGCATGATAAAGATATATATGGATATACACCACGCATTGTTCTGTTCAATGATTCACTACCACTATAAAATTGATTTTCTTTTAATAAATTATGGGAATTGTTGTTTTTTTTTAAAAAAATCCATTGATACTTTTATATCAGTAGTTAAGTATAGACGTTTATTGAATTTTAAACATATCATGAGTATGTGGGAGTAGATCTATAAAAAAAATATTTAAACTAGGCACATCTGTCACATCCCATGATCTGTGAATAACTTAATGAAGCTTGGTATTACACAGTCAGTACTAAAAGATTATGAACAGGTGTCAGTGCTTTTAAATTTGTATGCGATTAAAAAGTAGAAATGTTAGTATTAGTTAAGTATAATTTATCAGTAAAAGCAGGAAATTATAGATATAATAAAATATTTTCTGGTTAATCATGTGTTAGATAGCAAGTAATGATGAAGTGTGTGTAGAAGGACATTCAAATAAAAGGTGTTAAGAGATAGTGGGCAGCCAAAGTTTTCGTAACTGTAATGATTTGGTTCTGTTACCTACTGTTAGAATATGAACTGAAACAAACTGTCCCTGTTAGAAATCATATATGTATTTCATATTAAACTTCGGAATTGTTATCCTGCCCAACCCCCAAATTTGACCCAAAAAATTTGTTCAACCATATTCCCAAATTAAAATGAAATGAAATGAAATGAGTTTTAATGTCCTACTGTTCTGCTCTGACTGGGCTAATGAAGATGGACATAAACCATACAGTGTGCTATGAGTATGAGGGAAATTTTACTTAGACAGTGACACTACAGCCTACTCTTTTTTTGAATTCCAACTGTCAAGGAATCTTTTACGTGCATGCCAATTCTTCCCAAATTAAATTTCAAGTTGCCCACAGATAATTCTAGTTATAAATATTTATTATTGTACCAGTACATTCTGTAACAAATACAACGAGAATACATAATATGTATATTATATTGTAATGTCGCTATTTTATATGAATTGTTTTTGAATATTTAGAAGTGTAACCAGATCTCAAATAATCCCCCTCCAAAAAAATGTCTGAATAGGTCATGCCTGTTGTAACTTGATTAGCCATATGATAGATATTGTGAAATATGGTCATTCTAGAGGGTATTGACACTGACAAATCTATGTTCGACCTAGTTTTTATACTGATAGTTAAGAAAGTGTGTAAAGACCATCTGTCACACTTGGCCTACACATTTCATTCACAAATAGTTTTACTATTGATCAAATTTTGGATTCAGACCATGTGGATTTAATTCTGTGGTGTTATGAACTATACATAAATTTGCTGAATTTTAAACATTTCTATTGAATTTTTAAATAAAAATAATGAAACTGTTGGCATGAGCTATGTATGTTACATAAATGATAGGTGTATCAGACAGAGTAAGATTATCTGCCATATGTGCAGCAATATCTCTGGAACTTAATGTACATGTTTGTACCTCAAAATAATAATTTACTATCAGAAATGAATTAAAGAGTCATCTAATGGGTTCAGTTCCTATCATTAATTACATCATCATATGTAAATATGATACAGTTTTCAACTGGATATGGTTGAATGAAAAATTGGATTTAGTAGCCCGCAGTAACCCCATCTTATTAATGATCTTCCAGAAATAGAATAACTTCCATCTTAATCAGCAAATTCATTGATTAAAATAGCAAATGAGATTATGACAGAGGAAGGAAGGGAATATGTAATTATACATCATTGATTAAACTAATTAGATTTTAAGAAAAAAAGGGAAACAGAAATAGTTTTCAAAAGGTTGTCTCCAGAACTGATAATATTATTCTTATATTTTTGTCTATTGATCAAATTATGTACTGACCTTTCAATTAAAATTACTTTATTAATTGTTTGGAAAAGAAATCCATACCACACTTTTCTTACAATTGAAAATATCCTAATACATATTTATACAGCTAAAAGGTAAAAATCTTAGAGATTAAATACATCATGCTAACTTCTGGTCATTTACTGATTGCGAAAGGGGTAATGGGGAGAGGGTGTGTCCATGATACAGGCTACAAAGTATCTATTTATGGTTTATTTTAAATGTTTCATTTTTCTGTATTTTCAGGTTTCACCAGTTTAAATTTAAGTGATCAGATGAACTTGCTACAACACTCGTGGCTAGAAGTTCTATGTTTAAATCTTGTCTTTAGATCCTGTCCATACAGTGGCTACCTGTGTTTTGCTGAAGATTTAAAAGTTAGTAATGACTTGGTGAAAACGTACAACGTCCCACCAGAGTTTGATAATTTGACAAGGAAGTTGTGTAAGAAGTTCACCCTACTAGGAGTTAGTAAAGAGGAATATGTCTTGCTCAAAGCCATCACACTGTGTAATATAGGTAAGATTATATCAGAATTTGTACACACTCACAATATATGTGGGAGCATGTTGTCATCACCCCAGCCCATGTGCTGAAAATTAACCTTACACCTCAGACGTTTTGAGATTGGCTGTGATTGTGGGTCAAAAAATCTCTTTGGTTCAGGGTCTTTTTGACTGTTTTCCTTACTTGCTGGAATTGTTTGACTAGCTATAAGGGAGAATCCTATCAAAATTCAGTCACATACCAATTTAGCCCAAAGTTATTGCTCCTATTGAGTCCTATCACATCTTTAGTGATAGAGTTGCTGCTTTTTTGATTGATCAACATCCTGTGATATCCTTGTGACATTACTTTAAATCCCCACTGCCTCCCTTCACAGAGCTGGTGGTGTGTATATTTTTGTTGCAATCTGTTCCATTATTATTAATATAATTCTATGCCATTAAATAAATGTCCGTATTATACTGAAGCCTGGTTGGGTGGTTCAATTTGTACTCTGTCTTTGGATCTTAGTGGTACTTTCAAAGTTAAAAACCAATGAGTTTTTGAGTGACAAATACTCTTCATTCATAAAATTGATTCCTAAAATAGATATTAAAAAAGAAATAAATAAAAACAGACATTGACATTTAGTGTCACAAAGATGTTTCAAACACCCCCATTGTGTGTTAAAATTTAGATTTAAAAAAAAATTAAACCTTGATTCCTAAATGTAGATATTCACAATTAGCGTTCTTCATCTGAATTTAATCAGCTTCCATTTTCTTAAAATGTTTTTCAGATGTAGTAGCAGAAGTTACCGACACAGTCCGCTGTTTACAAGACAAGCTCCAAGATTCCTTAATGGAGAATATACGACAACGTCATGGGGGAGACATGAGACGTCTGGGACAGTTATACCTTCTGCTACCCCCAATCACACACATCAAACTTCTCGCCAAACAGTTCTGGTTCGACATGAAAAAGGAAGGCCGCGTCATGATGCATAAATTGTTTTTAGAAATGCTTGAAGCTGATTCTTGAGAATGGCTCAAAAAGCCAGATTCTGGCTTGCGTTTTTTTTCAGAATTTGTTCCGTGCTAGGTAGATAAAGTTGTATTGTTATACTAGGTCATTGTTTGAAATCTGTTGAATTATTACAAGGAGAGACCGAGATAAAGAATCAGGTACTGCATGACCATAGCTCTAGATATTTTGTGGACTTGAAGTTGTTTTACTAAAATAAAGAGACAAGATTGACTCAAAATGATGGCCTATTGGTGAATATACACCAGGAAGGTGTTAATGAAAGGTGTTGTTGTGATGAAGACCAAGAAGAGCAATCTAATGTTATTTTATTTTACAGTTTGATAAGCTTACAAATAGATTTACCAAGTTTTTTTGTTTGTGACTTATATTAATTAGGAACAAGTAGGTTTGATAATAAAAAAAAAATTTAAATACAGAGAAAAAATATGGAAGACTTCTAAGAAAGACTTTCTAAAAGAAGGCTGCATTTCAATGCAATTCCTGAAGCAAAAGTGTTCAGGAAAAAATTTCAAAAATTGAAAAAAGTTCTTTAAAGTGTGCTCGTGACCCATGCTTATGTTAAATTAGACGTAGAATATACCGGTTTCATTATCACACAAGCGGGTATATATTGACTTCATTCATTTGATGGTGACGTCAATCATGTGATTCTGGTAACACAGAATAAACGAATGAATGTGATGTTAATTGTTGATTTAAAGAGGCAGCCTGAATGAATGAAGGAAATATATGTTTGTTTGTTTGGTAATATTACAGGTGGTAGTAACCAGAATATTGTTGATCATTCCTAACCCATCGCGATGTGGTTTTAATTATTTCTGTTAGTATTTTTTAATGTATAGTTGAGATTGTTTTCCCTTATTTTAATATTTGTTAAACATACAATTATTAATAAATGTTTTTTTTCTTCTTTTTTATAAGTCAAATTTCCCACTTAAGCTAGGTCTACATATACATATAGCTGTTTATTTATTCAGAAGGAAATAAGCAATTTGGCATCTCTTCTGTGTTTTGAAACTTTTGACATTATATATACCTTGGACCACCTATCTCAGGAAATAAATTCCGAGATATACTTTTAAGAATTCCATGATACATAAAATCTCATTGAAAACGGAGTGATGGTCGTGTTTGTTTCCTTCTGGTTCAATAAACAATGTCACTTCCAAAAGCAAACCCATTTGTATTAAGGCAGCATTATATATACACTTCATGTTATACACATATATTTTAAAAGCACATAAACATTTAGTGAGTCTCAACCATTTCCATCTGGGTTTTACCTCGTTTTTAATAGTTTAACAATCAGAACAAATATATATTTAATACAGCCCAATAAATCATTTGATAACTTTTTTTTATAGAACAAATCAAAATACGGGTTCCAAATTTTGATCAAATTGTTTTACTTAGATGACAGATCTGGATTATTAAGCTAAATAACATGAACATTTGTTCTGTGTCTTTCTGAATCATTTGTTTTGATGCTTCAGAAAAATTTGTCTGATGCTTCTAAAACATTTGTTCCTTTGCTTCTTAAATATATGTTTCCATGCTTCAGAAAAATTTGTGCTTTCTGAGCTTGATACTTTTGTTACATTTGGTATGATGCAACAGATGTTTTATATGTTCTGATGCCAGTAAAACATTTGTTCTGATGCCAGTAAAACATTTGGTATGATGCTTTTGAAACATTTGTTCTGATGCTTTTGACAAAGTTGTGTTGGCACTTTTGTGACATTGCTCCTGGCGGGCCTCCATAATTTTATTTGTTCCTTAAAGCATTGGTATTTAGGATTCTGAAATATTTCACTTGATGCTTCTGATGCACTTTGTATTTTTCTGATTCTTCTTGAAAACTTGTGTGATACAATTGTTATTTTGTCATTATATGTAACATTTGTTCTGATACACCATTACATATGTGCTTAATGATTTTGTTGTGAATAACATGCACATGGATTTGTTTCTCAACAGATGTTCAAACCTTTAAGTAAATTTATGAAAAAATAGTTTGAAATGAAATGTAATAAAGATTTATCATTGATTCTGTGGCTGTTTAAATTATAGTACTGACAAATAGATAAATAACACATCCACAATTTTCAGACCACCTACTTTCTCTTCAATTCCTCATTATCCACATTTATTACATAGAGCATGTTCTATTAGGTTATCTTATGTTATAAAATGTGCTTATATTATTTAGAGACTGCAGCATATGATATGATGTATGATTTAGGGTCTTTGTTGCTTTATATGCTTATTATTTTATTATTATAAGTGATGTTTCTCTCCAGTTATTGTTATATATTTAAGTAGTGGATTATTTAACCAAACATCATTATGTGGGTTTATGTTGCATTTCTAGGAAAACATATTTTTGTTTGTTTTATGTGTGGATTCTATATTATTATTATATAACTTTTTTGTGTTAATATATATAAGATGAAAGAGAAGTTTGTATTAAATGTTTATCTACATCTAGTTTTATCAAATGTCCATGTTTTTGGTTCCTTTAATTAGATTTTTTGGATATTAGACATTGTTGAATTTTCAAATTTTAATGTAAATAGAATACATATACACTGTAGTTTTTTACTCACAGTCTGTTAGTTCAAGATTAGATGTTAAACTATTTGTTAGATGAAATTATCATACCTCTTAAATTCAAAAAAATGTATATTAGCAATAGAATGTGCTTGATTTATTACGTGGACATTATTAGTATGGGTTAAATATTCTATTTTTACCAGTCAGTGATTATCTATCTCTCTCTCTCTCCTGTCATACAAAACTTCACAGAATGTGGTCAAAAGTCATAAAAAAGTTTAATGTTACATATGAATGAATGTGTGTAAAAAATTAATCTAGGTTCTAAAATAGTAACACTGCCAAAAATAGGAGCATTAAAGCTAAATTTAGTTGGTAATTTATATCTTAAGATTTGGTTTAAGTGGACAATTGAGTGATTTTATTGTCTGTAATTTCAGACATTAAAAATTTCTAAGTTGCTTGCGGCAGATTTATAATATTATATAAATGGCTTGTCATAAATGGAAAGTAACCATTACCTTTTTGTCGAATATAGTTTAGAAAACAAATGGTTGAAGATAATTCATTTAAAACCTTGAACTAGATTAGAAGTCACTTATGACTCATGCTGTTTTCACGACCAACACCATCATGTGGAAATTTCCAAATTGTTGAGAATTCAGTTATATGTAAAATTAAGTTAATTGTTACTTGATTATTTCTTTATCATATTTGTTTTTTAACAATGAAAGTTTTCGGCCAGTAAGTCAAGATTTTTGTAGAACTGTAAATAGTTTCGGTCACTTGCTGACGAATTTTAATCTTTTTCTAAAAAAAAAAATGAAACAGAATGAAAATGTGCAGAAAAAAAAAAGAATTGTTGATATTTTATATGAATCTTTTTTGAATTAAGATTAGTTATTATGATTGAATCTTTTTAAAATGCTATGCATGATGAAATGAATTGTTACTCTCTTAAATGTTAGATATTTTTTACATGTTACTTTTTTTCCCTAGTTCTGTTATGTTGGTTGGTCTACATCGAGAACTTGTTAGTTTGTCCAAAAATTGAGTCAAGATTTTCAGTCAGAATTATAGTGAAGCTTAAATCACTATCAGAACCAATTTAAAGGACTTCATTTATATTGACAGATCTGTGTGGAGTAACTTAAGATATATGGAATATGTTATAATATCTATTCTAGACATAAACTTATATAGAGTTGTGAAACTTATTTATTATTTCAAGCCCCATCTTCTGAAACTCAGGAATTGTCTTTCTTCAGTGAGTGCTGTTGTCAGGAATCTGGAAGTTGCTGACAGCAGAACTAACACCAGCTTATCAAGGCAGGTAATTTGGCTGGTTTCAGACAATGGCATACTAAAAATCTCCCCCCAAAACATTCCTTTACCCAAAAGTGTGATGATATAAGTATTTAGTATATACCCTAGATATGATAATACAAATGTATATGATGGTTATAATAAATTAAATATATAGATATTATTTATGATGTAAGTAACGCTCTATCTTAAACCCAGATAATAACATAATCAGCTTACCATATATATATATATATAAGAAAGATCGCTCAATTTATTTATTTATACTACCAATTAGCTGTATTAAACATATAAAAACTGAACTAGCATTACTGTATACTGTTCTTTATAACCAACATCACAATAGCAGTAGGGCTCTGTGAAATATTTGGAAAAGGATTTAATATTTATAATGATCATGGAATAGTACCCAGAAATTTTAGGAAAAATGGAATGTTCAAAACTTAACCTTACTATCTAAATATTTCTGACTTACTGCTACCTTCCCACCTAAAAAAAAAAAAATAGTATAAATGAAATTAACCAAAGTATATCTTAAAATGGCTCTTGTCTTGCATTTAATTGCATTATATTCATACATTAAAATTCATAATGACACGACTATTGTCTTCCTAGAATGTATATCATCAGTGAATTCTAATTTATTGCCAATGTTACACATCTTGAAAGCCAAACAAAACTATTCATCTTACTATAGAAAATGCTATGAAATAGATTGCAAAAGCATTTAAATTAAGCATTTATGTTAAAATCTATAATAACACTAGACTGCTTTTAAACAATGGGCATATTGTATAAGAAAAGTTAAATGTATACACGTTTTGTTAAGTTATGTCACAGAACATGTTCTTTTGAAAAATAAGAAAAAAACGAAAAATTTTTCAAAGCTCAAAATATTTATTCACAAAGTATTATTCGGTTGGATTCAATGTAATATGGAGTTTATCATTTAAGTAAATAAAATGATTTTAGTGATACATTTTGTTTAAATCAAACCAAAAGCAAATTTATTTATATATAGAATATATATACATATTATACATATATATTAATAATCATAATATTCATCTTTAAAAGGACTAGATATATACATAATATAGTCACATACTATACAATATTTTGTTTTAATTTTGGAGTAAATAGATATTTGTTTTATAGGTGTCTTTAGCTCTTGTGTAAATGAATGCTGATGAAAAGTTGTGAGTGGACTGGTTACAAATTTATTGTTTCAATGGCATTTAGTAATTGAACTGGAATATACAGGTCACAATGCTATAGAATACAATTACTGCTTATTACTGAATGATTTTTCGACTAGGCTTCTCTCTAGTCAAAACATCGCTCAGTAATAAGCAATAATTGTATTCCATACAATTGTGACGTGTACATTACATATTGATTTAGTTTTAAAAAATTAATGCATTAAGGTGACTACATTTTGTATTGGGTAGATACATAGTGTATCATTGAATTCATATAGTGTGTATTTGCCTGGTTACATTATAAATTGAGCCTAAATACTTTATGTATGTTGTTGATACATTGTGTAATGTAATGAGGTCTGAATGCATTGTGTATTAAGGCTTAATTCATACATAGTGTATCATTGCTTTGATATAGTTTAAGTTGATACTTGCTAGAGTGCATTATGAATGGAACTTTTTATTACATTGTGTATTGTGTTGATGCATTGTGTATCATTGAATTCATGTATTTATTGATTGGATACATTTTGAATTCAATTTAATACATAATGAATTAAATCTAATGCATAGTAAAAATCTATAGATTGTGTGCTTAGTTTTATGTATTTAGTTTACTGTATGATGTATTACTGTTATTTTAGTACACCTGCATTATGTATTAGTTTTAGTTCTCTTTGTACTTGAAATACTACTTACTGTTAACTAACTTATGTATTGAGTTCAATAATTTATTCATATCAATTAAATACATAATCTATTGAAATTAAAACTGTAAATTACTGTGTTAAAACATTGAATATTTCAAATCATTGAATCATGAATAGAGATTCATTGAAACCATTATGCAAATAGTTGTTGTAATGTATCATATGTATAATTACTGCCTATAATTAATACATTGGTTAATTGATTGACTGTTTCAATTATGTAAATTATAATGTACATATCCCCAGTATTGCTTTTGATTGTGAATTGGATTTTGTACTTATTATTAGTATGCTTGTAGCATTAAGGTCCCTGGAAAGATCTCTTAGTAGATTATTACTTACAATTGTAATTCTACAACATTGTAGTTTTAATAGTACCATCATAATAAATGATTACAAATTACTATCTGTAAATAGTAACACTAATAGTTAGTATGAGGTCTAAAGCACCATAACATTACCTAGTAATCTATGTAGGCATCAGTGTGATGCTCAGAGCTTTACTGGGAATATATATTAGTTAATAAACATGTACTATAGTGTTTTCTAATTCTAATCAATCCACTGAGCAGTCAATGTGTTACTCATTCTTGACACTTATTCAGATTGTTAATGTAAATACCATTCATGATATGTGGAACGATCCTATTATTATGTGTATATATTCTATTGATATAAGCATATAATATAAAAGCATTGCTCAGTTGGTTACACTTTTATATTATATTTTAGTAGCATAATCCGAGTGAATAGTATAGCATTCATTTTACTATGTGGTTTGAATCTTACATTTAGTTCAGGCTTCATATTCATGGTTTAGTATAAGCATAGCGGATTTAGGGGGCTTTTCTTTAAACATTTGACAAGCTAACGTAGTTCATTTATGATCGATTGAATCAATTGACATCAAGGCATTCAAATGATCAATCAATGAATTAGCGCTACTAGTGTGAGATTTTGTTGATAACTATAGTGTTTTTATCCTCCAAATGCTATATTAAACATCTATAGATCATACCCAATGGAATACCATTATTGAAACATCATATTGTCATCAGTGAATAGGTTATAAAATACAAAGACCTACATAAACACATCTACTTGTTTAGTTCATGTCTCTAAAAACAATATCATCGTACATCAAAGTTGTATTATAAGCAACTTCTGGGTGATTACCATGAATATGAAGTCCAGTTCATTATTATTATATATAAGTATTAATTTCCCGTATGTGTGTTGTGCCTTTCAGTTGTAGTAGGCATTTTGCCACATTAATAATATTAGTGTTAAATCGTAATAATGTGTGCGTTCATTCGGCCTTATTTTGGCAATGTAGAGTATTTTCCAAGGCGTTTCTTCATATTAACGATCCTTATTTTAGATGTTGATTTCTTGTTATTAAGTATTTATCGAATGTTCTCTGAAAGGATATGACTGGTTTCTTGAGTGTATATAGCAATAAATGATGAAACATATTCTATGCTTGTTGTTTTTTCAACTATAAATCTGCGTGGCAACATTGAATTCCGGACGGATTCATGCTATCTGAAAAATATATCGGATCAGACTATGTTATAACGTATTGGTCATTGTCATCGTCTTTCAAAACTACATAGATTTCGGTCAATGGGTGGGATAGGGGTTCTGTCTATATTAAAGAGACACCCTGCCTGATTGCGTGCTTTGACTGACATCGTCTTTGACTCATGTATAAACGGTCCAGATTCCCTTTCTGTGTAACGCTGTCTGCTATATTATAGAACATGTGAGTGGAAACAGAAGTTGGAACACCACCGCAGTGGTAGATCCAATTAGTATACCCCATTACACATGTAAGATGTTATAGTTAAGCCAATTAAACCCAAATTGCACGAATTTATTCTTAAATTGTCGACAGCTGATCATTGCTCACATATGTAAAATCAACGACAATCTTGTACTACAACTACCAAACATACTAGTGTGTCCAAGAATCGTCGGATATGGATGGCGCTAAAACAAAATTGAACACAATCAGTCCTTTAAAAACCAGCCGTCAAAAATGTAATGGAAGAATTCACCCAAACCTCCCATGTCCAATTTTGATATGAACAATAACTGTAAATCCACATTTTTGCATGTGTAAACCTAGATATTTTAAGGCGTCTGATAAAGTGCAATGCCTACCGTCTATTGATAATGATACGGATTTGTGGTATCTCAAGAAGCATGGTAAACTGGATCAGATCGTTTCTCCATAATAGACAACGGCCCAGGGTTATGAATATGACCTGGACAACAATATCTCTTTCCGCAAGGCAGTGTTCTTAAACCTATATTATTCGTTATATACATCAATGATCTACTTGACAACATACAATCTGTTGCATGTTTGCTGATGACACCAACGTCTTCAAAGACATAAGTAAAACTAATGATTTGAAGACACACACGTGGGAACTAGAAAATAGCTGATAACTCAAATTCCATCCTGACAAATGTAAATGTATAGAAGTTTTGTGATACAAAACTCAAATACACAGAGATAGACTAGATATTTAGGTAGTCGTTAACAATCACCCCAATTTGTACTATCACCTAAATGAAAACAATATATACCAGTATATATAATGGGTCTACTTTCCTGCTACTGTACAAAATACTTGTCCATCCATCAATTCGGTATGGAACATTGGAACCCGTATAAACGTAAACTCATTACATCATTAGAAAACATGCATTGACGAGCTACGGCGCTTAATCCAGGAGTTAAAGAGCAAAGTTATGAAGAACGCATGGCGACACTGAAACACCCAACATTAATATTCAGACGTAAGAGGGGTGAGAAGAAATAATATCAGAAATCTATGATGCTGGTCTGCCAAATTGATGTCAACAATACCTGGATACATCTAAAACCAGTGGTCATAGTAAAAACTTTATTGAAAAGATCATATATATTAGGGGAAACGTCTTCACAAAAAGGACTAATACCAATATGGAACAGAGTACCTGAAACGTAGTAACACTAATTTATTTGAAAACCGTTTTGACAAACATTGGCAAAATCAAGAATTTAATCATGACTGTCGTAATTCCAAAAAACAAAAACGATGATATGGATCTGAGTATTGTGGCTTGCAGCACTCAGAAAACGACCTATAATTAAAAAATATAACGGCACTAACTGTGTCCAGCACATCGACCATATTACGTTAGAATTAGCCATCCTTGGTAAAAATCAGGATATAACTATCTAGACTAATCGTCTAACCAACTGTTTTATAACAATTTTCAATGACACTTCCGATCTGAAACCATTTAAATTACTATTAAAATAGGAATACTACTACGAAGGGCAAGGTTAACTAATAGTTGTAGATGATCACGTGGCCGGTGAAGATACATATCGATACAAATAACAATAACTGTTATTTCAAAACATTAATAAATCTTGATAGTGTTTAAATCGGAAATGTCAAGTAGATAAGAAAACTTATAAGGATAGAAAATTTTAACCTAAAAATCCTCCACCATCCTACAATCTATATAAGTCTTCTAACATTGTCATACATATATTACATAAAGATTTGCTGCAAGGGACATACATCATGATGCATGATTGACAGCTTAAACCTATTGAGATATATGAACAAAAATATAACGCCCAAGGCAAAGTCTACGTGTAGCCGATACGATGGGGTAATTTAGTGTAATTTGTTTTGTTCGTTTCGTACAATTACAGCAAGGTTTTTCTCGTTTTTTGATTGATAGTTATATTTGTTATTATTTTGTTTATCTATTTTTAAATCACCATACCTTGAGGCATGCACCGAATTACATATCTATATCTGACGAAAAGAGGCTTATAGTTAGCTATATTTAAACTACAGCGTTATTGCCCTGCTGGTGGTCTTTGGTCAGGGTTGACGAGCATTGTGTAGGAACCCGGGTATGCTTACCCTCTTTGAACAACTGACACCCCTTTTCACCATTCTGCACACACAGATCTATCTACTTCATATTTCGAGAATAGATCTCTGCCCTAAATGGCCGCCATATCTAGAATTAGTATACTTTTTTGTAACTAGGTTCGAATCCGTTTCACATCTGCCATACACGCAAAGACTAAATTAACTTTTTCAATTGTATTAAATGGAAGCAGAATAAATCTTAACAAAATTCTCGAAGTTTACTTCGTGTTTTCGACTAAAATCGTCGATTAAGGACTTAAAATGTCGGTCAACTAGTTTAGTGTCTGTTCCCAATCGGAGCTAACTGTAGACAGCCTAAGTTAGTATGCCCTTTTCACTAGAGGTGTTCACATTGTTAAAATATTTTTCTTAGAACTAATTTACATATCCCCGTCAGCAGCACCCTTAACCCGGTGCTGAACCATTGTAAAATTCGCATCTGTAATTTAAAAATTTAGACAAATACGACGGTCTACATGTCAGAACCCCATCATCGCCGGCTAAGCATACTTCGTTTTCGTTTGTTCATTTTTCCAAATGGTGACATTTACTTTTATAGTTAGTACAATGCCGCGTACGCTATATAAATAAAATAAAATAAAATTCAATACCACGAGTCAATCTTTTCAATGTGCGTTAAGACTATGATTGGATGAGTGCAATTGATTTCAAAAGCAACTATCGAACATTGAACGCTCTAATAGGTTCAGAACTGTACAATGCCGCGTCTGTTATAGAGAGAGAGAGAGAGAGAGAGAGGGAGAGAGAGAGAGAGAGAGAGAGAGAGGGTTTAACGTCCACTCGACGCAAACTAGGCCATTTTGGGACTAACATGTGGTTTAATATTATTTCAATAATTCGCTTGCGCGTAGGGGTCTTTAGCAGTGGGAGGAAACCGGCGGACCCGGAGAAAACCCACGAAGTTGGACATGTGACCCTACACCTTGTCACGTACAAACGGGCAATCGAAACATCGTCACTTGACTCAATGACAGACCTTGTGATCTAACGCGCACGTGTTAAACCATTCGGCCACCCAACACCCTTCTTTGACCACACCACACTAAAGCCGTATATATAGGGCGTTATATTTGTGTGCAACAGTAAAGTTGATTTGATAAACATGTTTAAATAGATCTCTAATGTTATCAGGAATTTTTATTGTTAATATTCCAGACTCATTTCTATGTTCGACATAAATAATTCAAGATAATGAATTAATTGCCTTCACCAAAAAGAAATTTATGGCTATTGTCGTTTTCTAGATCATTAAGGAATAGGGTCAAAGAACCCTGGTCTTAACACAACTGTCTGCGAATGTAGTAAATATAGAATTGAGCCTAAAAGCAACATACTATTCTAACAGTAGACTTCGGCTTCTAAAATCCAGGTCAAAACCTTGTGTATTTCTAGAACATCTGGCACCACAAAAACAGCCCTTTCATGAGATTCCATTCCGTAACTACTGGAGCTTTAATTGAAATGAACTATGCATTTCCGAAAAGCTTAAACTGTGCTGTGTAGAGTGATGTGCTAAAACTAGATGTACAGAGTAACATTTCCATAGGAGGTACTGATTATTTTGATTAAACTGCAAGCTAACTTATGACTGCCTATAAATGCTGCTTAAGTGTAGCAATACTTAATGCGATGATGATGCTTGTTACCATTGCTTCGGAGAAATGACCATCATATAACTTAGCTCAATTTACGATGTCAAGATTTTGCAAACTCTAACTATTTATCTCTATGTTAGGATACACCAGCCCGTGAAGATAGTTCCTAATTGATGTTATCATGTTTGCCTAAGGCCAGAAATGATATGGCATCATGGTTATTACAAATTACATAACACCAATGATAAACTGATATTATAATAGTAGATAATAAGTTGGCGTATATGGATAAGATCCCTTTACAGTTAGGATTCCACGAGAGCGAGAGAGAGAGAGAGAGAGAGAGATATGGGAGAGATGGGGTTTAACGTCCACTCGACACAAACTACGTGTCATTTCGGGACTAACATATGGTACAATTTTATATCAATAATTCTCTTGCGCGTAGGGGTCTTTAGCCGTGGGAAGAACCCGGAGGACCCGGAGAAAACCCACAAGGTTGGACAGGCGACCCTACTCCTTGTCACGTGCAACTGGGGAATCGAAACCACGCCAGTTAACACAATGACAGACCTTATCATACAGCGCGCACGTGCTAACCATTCGGCCAATCCCTCCCCCTCCCCTCCTCCGAATTCGACGTAGAGTAGGTGGAAATGGTGCTTTCCACGCAAAATTCCCCTTATAAGACCAGTGCTCACACTGGCTTTCAATTTTTTCCGCCAAAATCGATAATAATTTTTATATAATTTTCATTTTTTTTCGCCAACTGTAACAACAATTTTATTTCTCAGCCCTGGTGGGCCTTTTATAAAACAATTACCGATATACTAACAATATACAACAACTTCAATAATCCGTCTTTACATTAGCTCAGTTTTGAGATGGTTTACTATAACATCAGAT